TTGATATATTCAAATTATTAATAAAAGATAGCTTTAGGCTTATCTAATAAGGACCATATTCTTTATTTTTTCGTTTCTTTCATCGATTTTTGTAGCTGACGAGACAAAGTGATTGCATCTCATTGCATTTTGTACTTTTGTCTTTTTTTTTAGGATCGGCAACTTAAGGGTCTTCCTGCACTTGGCACCACAGCTGCCATTACACCCATTCGCAGTTCAAGTGATCAGTCCCAGTCCCTCAGCACTGTCGCATGCCATCTTAAGGAATGCGTTTTAAGTGACCTGGAAATATGGTCGAATGAAATGTTCATAGATTTTAGGAAATTAAAAAATACTTCATAAGAGAGGATTAGCTATTGTTACCCGAACAACTTCGTTGTTTTACGAAATGTTAAACTCAAGTTATTCCGTACTTTTTATTGCGCTCAGTGAGCTTAAATTAGTTCATAGAAGCTATGTAATTACTTTCTAGTTTTTGAAATTACGACACTGAAGCTATAGCACAACGAAAGGATTTATCTATTTATTCAACTGTCGTTGTTACTTATGCAATGTAAATGCAAATATACCACGATCCACTAATTCTATGTAACTTATGGGAATAAAAAGAATGTGTACAGCATTATACTGTTATCTGACGTTTATTTTTCACAATAAAATTTGAAAATGCACCACAATTCAAATACATACATACGTTTATTGACCACTTCCCCAAAGGGGCTTTTCTGTGCCAATTACAAAGAAAAAGATAAAAATAAAAACATATACAAATAATTTAAAGTTACAATTACAAATCATTAGGATATCATTCCGCCCTCTTAAATTTGTCTAAAAGCACCCCTCTAAGCTTACTCCTAAAACTATTAACATCGATGCACACCTTAATATCATTATTTAAATTATTCCAGATGTTCACTATCCTATAGTAAAAAGTCTTCTGCCCAGTAGCAGTTCTAAATAAAGGAATATTTAGCATCTGCAAGTCACAGTCATGGTTCACACCATGACTGTGACTTGAGTGACATTGGTTGCATTCTTCTTAATACATGGGTGATGTCCACCTCCCACGAACTGCAAATGGAAATAACCAAGATATTATTTCATAGTCTCTTGGAGCAAATGACTACTGAACCGCATGAGAGCCACATAATGCGATGATTTATTAAGATTGAGGTTGCCGCGCTTTTTCGGCTTTTAAAAAGATCACTGATTTCAGTCATTCCGCTATACCTAATCTACGAAATTGCACAATGATCTTCACAGCAATGCTAGCTATGCTAAGCATGAACATACCGGCAACTGACAATCACGATACATGCTCAACCGGTTGGAAAGCACTTACTTGTTGATACGTTCAATTTTTATCAAGGTTCTCTAGGAATTCACTTCAACTTTTATTCAAGTTTTATCTGAGTTGTTTTCAAATATTTTGATGGAAGAACTACGTGGTCAAAGAGGATGTATTTTAAGAATAGTAGACGATGCTGAAAAACATTTTCCAAGTTCAATAAAGGTGATGGAGATTTAATTACAGAAGTAGGATTCTTTACCTACTGTTTTGAACCAGTCTTGTACAATGCTTTTGGGGTTTCAATGCGATACTGCTCACAGCAGGAGCCTCGTCAATTGTTAAAGAACTCTTTGAGAACCGCAGGTTGTTATTGAACCTGACAGTTGCCATAGTAGAGCATCATGATAATTATGTTAAAATCTACTTGTGAGTACCTGCTCTTGGGTCATTAATTATTTATCCATTTCCTAGAGAGAATGCAGCCAGGAAAAATAAAGCAGGGAAACATTAATAGGAGCTGAAAGATAGTTATTAGCCAGGCATGTATCTCAACATCATGGGACGGAATGGGCGGTGCTGAAAGTTCGAACAAAACAATGTTTCAAGGTAAGTTGTTCAAGAGTCCTTGAATTGCAAACCAACTGCCGCGTGCAAAGTTTGTCCACTCTGCCATGGCTGACGAGCGATTTCCAAAGAACTTGTATGTATGTTTACAGATAAGGTACAGGATATTACACTCAGTTAAATGTGCTCTTCTTCTGTCTTCGCAAAACGACGTTTCGTACACGAAAAATGTAAAAATCAATAGCCCGGCCCCAATTCATATTTAAAATGAATGAACTTCAATACAGTCTGTTTTGAGATAATCACTCTGAGGCTTAAATTCAATGGTATCATATTTTAAATGTATGATTTTTGATAGTTGCTTAATTTTCGAGTGCTTGCCTTGAGAAGGGCATCTGAAAAAATTCGATGGTGTCATGTGTTTTCTCCTTTGTCATCTTTGTATCGTGTGCATCTTCTGTCGAAACTGAAGAGTTTCCACTCAGTCTGGTGGAGAAAAGTTCCTGAATTTCTTTTGCAAGCACAATTTATATTTTAAAATCCTCGTATTAAATTTAAAGAAGTGAGGAAAGGAAAATGATGCTGAATATTGATTCACCCGTATGTAAAAACAAATCACGCGCACTGTAGATGAACATCGTCCAATTGAACTGATGTGATTATCATACAAGGATTTGTTTTTCATAACTTCTCATTTATAATAGGTTTTATAAAATTCTGTGAGGCTGAGTTGATTTGCATTTTTCCCAGAAAGATTTGTTTACAACTTGAAACACTTCTTTAATTAGATAGTCAGCACTTGAGGTTGAAATTTGAAATTGTCGTCAAAGTTACATCTATCGGGCTGATTGACGGTATTTCTGTCTTTGTTCTTGACACCAACGCTTTGCGTAATAGAATACCAGAAATTTGTTTTTGCCAGATACTGAAAAACGGAAATACTCTTCAGCTGATAAACGATAACCAAAAACTAATGTTATCCCCGGATCTTAGTAAGTTCTCTGTGATTGGCCAATTTCCCAAAACATCGAAGGTGATAAGGTGAACAGCACTATCTTTATCCAGCTGGATCCTAAACGAAAGTTTGATATGGCAGTAGTGAAGGAAAACAATTAATAAAGATAAGATAAAGAAGTCTATTTTTCGTGTACTTTATAAAATGATATTCACTAACAGCTTGATTTCATCTACAGTAAGGTCAGTCAGTTTGCGTTATTCGCGTAGTATAGTAGGATAATCTTACTTTGAATTCGTAAGTTTCCCTCGCTTATCAAAAGTCAGTTTTGTTATATGGCAATCCCTATTGTTTATTCAAAGTGTTGAATGCGAACAGTTTTCTAAACATCCAGAAATTGCCCTGCGGCGGCGCATTTAAAAATCAGTGAACAGCTTCTTTTGCCATTCTGGCGAGCCTGACTCTCCACCAAGCTTTAAAGGAATCACGGAGAAGCAGAACTCGTGGCCGACGGATTTCTATCGTCACTTGAGGAATGGTAAATGAACAAGAATGAAACAATAACGGCCCTTCATTTAGAATGGAAATTTCCTTGGATAATTTTTCGCGGTCATTATTTGTTTCGCCGGAGAAGGGAAGAATGTTTCGGAAGCAAAGCTTCAGGAGGACTTATCAATGAGTCTCCCTGAAGCTGACGCTATTTTCTCTCTACAAACTCTATGGGATCACTAATGGTGATGAAGTACATGTAACCAGCTCAGTCTCAGTCTCTTGCCCTCCAGCTTACCTTGCTCTATGATCGTAAGTAAGACATAGCTAACGGAACACCGTTGAAGCAAATTGATTTTTCAGGCTGTTGAGTCGTGTAGTTTTCAGATTACACGTCTGAGAATTGAATTCCCGGATTTGACATCTCCAGATCACTGGTTCGGTAGAGATTGTAATCCTCTGAACTTCGTATTGCCTTGCATGGCTTACTGATGGAGCGACTCGAAAATTGTATGTTTTGAAGAAATACCAGTCAAGCAACAGATAGTAGAGTACGTATACTCGAGTCACTTATCGCCTTAATTTGTCCTTACTCTCTCTAGTTTCCAAGCATAGTTCGTCACCTCACTCAGAGAAAGATAAAATGCTGGAGGGAAAGAGTCCTGCGTCAAGCCGCAAAAATAACTTAGGCGACGAGGAATGCAAGGGACCTCAACAGGAGCACCTGTCCAAGTTTGCGCACTTTAAGCAAGTCGTCAACGGTGAGTAGAAACAACAACAAACATATGAAACATATGAGTGAACTGCGGTTATGAGACGTATATAAGAACGATCCTTCGCAGTAAAGCACTATTTGAGCAATAGTGGAAATCAGACCTGAAAAAAATTTCAGGTGAGTAGAAAGGCGGTTCAAGCTGGTTTGATAATCATGCATGCAATACTAGACTACTAGTACAGCTGGAAATAAAGTCAAAGGCAAAACTAATGGCGAGAGAGGTCTGGGGGTGATGAAACCCACAGCCATTTCCAGCGGTCTTTTCAAAACAAAGCAGCGTCATGCGCACAATTTCTTGTTATTCTTCACCTGCTGATTTTGTAAGGATCTTCAGCGGGATTTTGCGTTCTACGAATGTTTTAAGTTATGGGTCAGGACTTAGGCAAAACAAGCAGACTCCTAAGTAAGCAATTCGCGCACTTCCCTTTAAATATCTGGGATCGTCGTTGCCAATCTGCTGACGTTTAGTCTTGTTTCAGGCATTCGGCGAAAAGGTGGAAAGAGAGGATTGGACACAAAATCGGACCTTGGGTCGTCTACGGGTAAGCAGTGGAGCTTGTTTTCCTTAAAAGAACAGATGAAAGTCTTAACCTTTGCCATGGGCCCTTATTTAAACGTCTTGTAGATTAAATACAGTATAATTGGGGTGAATCTGTGGGAATATAGGTAATAAGTAGGTAACAGAAATGAAAATTTATTGTACTGTACCAGTAAGTTTAATTCATGTGCAAGTAAGTTTGCTTAATTCAATTTACCTTCTATATACATGTGCACCTTGGGGAGACATTTTCTAATGTTAATTTACTTTACCCCAATTTTAGGGTAAAGTGAATTAACATTAGGTGACATGATCTCTGTTTTTATAACTAAAAATGTACTTGATTCAACTTTGTTTTGCTTACAGTTGCATGTTTAGGAGGCATTTTTTTAGGAGGCATGTTTAGGAGGCATTTTATATGGAATATGTACGTTATACATGCACCAGAGTTCAATCTATCTCTCTAATTGTATTTAGCTTTGACTCAAAAAGTTGTACGTGTTTGTATTCAGTGCGACTGCAGATCTACAATACTTATGGGAAAGATTTTTATATAACCACACATCATACTAAAACAAAGCTGTAGTACCAAAGGCACTCTATTGTTTTTCAAGAACTGTGTACATAATGAAGTATTGGGCTTTATGGAAATCTTGCGGACTTCTGTTCCTGATGTATGTGCTGGTCCAAATTTCTTTTTCTTTTAAAAAATTAATTTTCAAACTGGGTCAGTTGCAATTTCCCTTTACCATAAATCTATTGACACAATCATAGACAGTGAAAAAAATTTATTTCCCTGGTTTGCAAATTTTTTAAATAAAAAGAAAAGTTTAACAAAATTGTCTTTAAACTTATACTATAACAATTACTTTATATTTCCAGTGTAATGGCAGATGGCAATTTTATATGAGGTACTTGTTATCTTTCTGTGTGTGTTTTACCACCAAGTATCTGGCATGCTATAACTGAATCCTAACACACAGTCATTTGGCAGCACGAGTTAAGCCATGTTTTTGGAACACAATAATCAGTATAGAAATTTTTCTTAACATCTTGATATCACCCATTGTAATCCTTAACTTTAACCCTTAACCCTAACCCTAGATCTAATCCTCTGATTGACTAACTGACAGAATCAGGCTAATTGCAGTGAAAATCTTGCTCTCTCAGATTGTTATATTGTTATCTTGGCAAAACCCAATCTCTCTATCAGTTTTTTATCAATAAAAAAAGAGTCAGTTACCCCATAGCAAATGAAAAAAATATTGTGGTGCAAAATTACCAAGGTTAAAACATTGTATCTAGTGAAAAATTAAATTTACCTTAGAAAAAAAATTACCTGCAACATATGCAAACATCACCTTCAGGGGTTTCATTAATGTTTTCAGCAGGAGGGCAACTGGTTTTCACAGGCGGGCAAAACTCTTTGAACTGAACTTCTTTATAATATAAACTTTCCTCCAGATGGTCAAATCAGGTGGGCAAAGCCGTCCTCACAACCGGTCAATTTGCCCGGTGCCTGGCCCTTAATGAAACCCCTGCAACTTGAATAAATTGCTTAAACTATTGCAAAAGTTAGGCTGAATATAATATTGCTGATCTTTACTGTATTAACACGCTGCAAAATGGTGTTTATTTCTTGTAGGCAGTTTTTAATTAATGAAATTGTTTTATTACCTTTGCATTTGGACCAATTTTTATAATTTTATATTCACCCATGTTCAACAGTGTGGAAAGTCAGTTCCTCATTTTAATTTTGTTTTTCATATTCATATGAATATTAGGAACATGGTCAAACCCGAGTCAAACCCTGAAATTGTATCAGCAATATTTTTAGCCTATTATGATAATTCAAAACATTTTCCCCTTCCTCAGCAGGTTTGAATAATCATGATTCCCCTTTGTGTTTAATTATTAATCTACTTCTGTTGTACATATATGCGCATTTTGTATCTGCATTAGTTTCTCCAATGAACAGAAGTGTATATCAAATAATTCCTTAAGTTTGTGGTTGTTATTTTTTCTATATTGTAGCCAGTACAAGGATTGGGGAGATTTCTGGTTTTCGTATACATTACTATAAATAGCAACCTACAGTATGTTTGTCTGAGCATGTTAGAAGGCAAAAAATATGTTGACATTTTAAAGTTGTTCTTAAGGCTTATTTGATTCAAACCCCATGTTGTCATTGGCTGCTGCCTTAATTATTTGACAATCACTTGTGGTAGGATTATTCATTAGGACATGTGCTCGTAACTTCATCTGTAAGAATAGAAATTAACACAAAGAACTCTCTCAAAACTACTTCAATATAATCTTTAAGCAGGAGTTTCTCTCCCACTGGATTGTATCCCTGAAAAAAAATAATGTCCATTTATACAAGTGTAAGTGTGTTTTTAGGGTTTCAGTCCAAATTTTCAGTTGTAACTGCCATTCATATACTTAGATTTATTTTGTATGTATTTAAATATGAAAACATGAATTTTTTATAATTCAATACACACTATTTTCCCTAGGCTGATTTAAATGTCTCTTTGTATGCAATCTCCAATAATTAGAAACAGGCAATTGTTTCTTCAATGTTTAGTACATGTACAACCATCAGATGACTTTTAATGGTTTGTCATAGCTTCTTTTTTTATTTTCATAATATTGATCCACTCTCCTGAAACTAACATTACGGAATCGCGCCCATTGAAAAACGTCGCACAGGAAAATGCAAATAAGCTAGAAAAGAGAAAGAGAGCATGCATAACTTCATGCAGGCCTGTCAATCTGACTGTCAATCATGTAATCCCCCGTGTACGCCGTGTTCGCAAGTATTGTTTCTTGCTCAGACAACTGAAACATAGTGCTATTCATCGAAGAAGAATAGCCGTAATCTTGATTAGGTGATATTGTTTAAAAATCAATCACATGTAAAATTATTTATTCAAGACGAGCAATTTTTTCATAAAACTTAGCAAAATCTTGGACCATAGACTTACTGATGACGTACTCTCTGGTTATCTTGGAATTGTTTTTGATGGCAATACTGCACTGAAACACTTTTCTGTTTCGAAACTTCTGCATTCATTTCAGTTTTTTCGAGAATGGAATTCTCTGAATATGGTCTCGGCTTATAGCCGCGTATTTTCAATTCACATGTTTTAAGAACCCAATTAAAACAGACTGAGGTCTAGGGTCTCGGCTTATAGCTGAGTTCGGCTCATAGACAAATAAATACGTTCAATTAAGACGGAAATGCAGCAGATTTACGAGGTTCGACTATCAATTTCGCCATGAAAGCAAAATAACATTACAGAAATATTCCTTTTTAGCCCGTTATTGCTGTCAGTTTCACTTAATACCTCGGGAAAGTCTATTTACTTTTCGAAAAGCTTAAGTATATGTTGTAAATTCCTGCCCGATGTATGTACAGGCTCAGTTTCAACTCAGCTTTACCATAACAACACTTTGTTTCATCACCTTCAAACAATACTAATTGCTTCAATTGTATCTCCATTGTCTCTGAATGGACGCAAAGCGAAATTTTACAAGTCGCGTTTGGGAATTCGTCAATTCAGATCATAAGAGACCAAAGCTGGCGGTGAGCTTTTGCAACCTCATTCTGCCTGCAAAGCATCATGGATACCCCACTTTTCCCAGGCGACGCTTTTCAATGGGCACGATTCGGTAATGATTTGCTTTAAGATTTTATTCCTGACAGGAACATAACAATAGTCTTTACTATCATAACGGTAAAGATAATCAACTGTTCGGATATAGTGCACTGTTATTAGTTAAAAGAGAGTGCTTTGTCAGATTGCAAAGCACAGAGCTGAGGTAAAGCTGTCACATTATCAACCTATTTATACAATGATCGACCATTGTACAGTAGCCAGTCAGCTTGCCCACTGACCAACTCACATACACCAACTCGCACATGCAAATGAACCAACTTGCACACATCAATAAATATACTCGCATGCACTTAATATCACCTTCCTACAGTAACCCTAGCAATTGATGAAATGATAATGTGAGCATAGACAAAAGTCACCCTTTGAAAGAGAAAACAAAATAGACTGTTCAAATATTTGAAGATTTTCATCCACAGTTGTGAAGAAGTAGCTAGGGAGAAACACTTGACTGCATCTCTTGTTTCCCCCCATACCTTTATTCTGCTCTAGCCACTTCCTGCATGGTTTACAAGAGAACAGAGCACAGTTAAAGGCTTCTTTATTTGTTAGATAGAAAAATGTAACTGTACTTATGCATGTGCACATTTATGTACAGCTGTACTTGCAATAATCTGTAAGGGAAAGCAAAGAAAAACACAAGGGGTGAAAAATAAATACTACAAGCTATTTGATATCGTTTGTACATGTTACATGAACATTTGTACATATCCATGTAGATGAATATGCAAATGCATTAAGAGACATCCATGTTGTGGCCCATCAAATCATGAAGGGAAATGACTCCTAACCAGCAATAGTTAAATTTTAGTCTTTGGCCACATATTACAGGCATATATACAATTGTTATAATTACGGTGGCCAATTTACCATTTCAACTTTGTTGATATATCCAAATTATTCTGACTCTTTGTCGTCAGAAAAATGATTTAAATTGTCCAATCTTTTTTTTTTTGTAACTTCAATCCAATTTGTCACTTGTGCAATGCAAGAAAACCTGTCTAAGCAGTTCTCTGGAGTACCAATACTGCATGATCTTTGTACTAGTCTTGGGGATTATTTGTTCTCTATGAAGCTCAGTTAGATAATAAATTGTATTAACATTAATTGTATGAAACTTTAAATAACTTTTTTATAACATTAATTTTATGCAACTTTAATATGACATTTGATGTGCAACTGTGCTCAGAGCTCCTCTTGGTAGCAGGTCACTGAAATGACCAGCCTGAGCCTTGAAATTAAATAAAGATGTCTGTACTGCTAATAACACAATTATATGTACACTGTTCAACCTGCTTGTAATTGTCAGTAGTACTTATAACGTCCACACGAGAGACTAAAATGTGCAGACAGGAACTGTTTAATGGTCAATTGCTAACATTACACTGACGTTCGCCATGTGCTTTTTTTCTTAGTCCTAATGCGTATGTCTTACGATAACTCGACCACTGACCTTGAACATTACATTTCTTCCCTCGGCAGAAAGTGAAACGGGAGAATGAAAAACAACTAAAAAAAGAAAACTGCAAAACATACAACAATAAATCATGCACAAACAAAAAAGTTAGTTGAGTCCTGTTTTTCTTTTTTTTTTTTTTTTGCGGAAGCCTAGTGCACCTGGTGTCGTAACGACTTTCCATAACATAGTCCTTAAACCACACTGGTCTCTGGATTCTTCTTCCACTACGGGAGTGTCTCGGAAGTGTGGGTGGGTCTTGGCCAATAGTTACAGTAGAAGGAGGGGTGTTGTTGTTGGTGCTGAATTCCTCTGGGTTTGTTTATTCATCTTCTGGCTGAATGGAGGTGGGTTGAGAGGATTCGTGCATTTCTGGTTCATCAAATTCTACTGGAGCTTGTGGCTCTTGCTGAGGTGTACATGGGTATTGAGACTCAGCTCTAGCATGGCCAGGTGGGCTTCCAAGCTTCTTGAAATGTGAGCTGTTTCGAGTGATTTCCTTCAGGTCTGTAGATCTGCTGGCTGTGATCATAGAACCTTTGATGTCATGGATGGTATATGGTACCGGTTCGAATGGTGGACTAGCCTTGTTCGTTCTCTTCTGCTTGACTAGGGCGCTGTTGCCAATGTGGAGGTCATGAGGTTTTGTGCTCCATTTGGTGTCTGTGTAAGCTTTCATGTGTGCTTTAGAGTCTTGATCCTTCTGCTGGACTTCAGGATCTGGTGATACTTGGGTGAAGGATGGCAACTTGGTTTGCACAATCCTGTTCATGGATAACTCGTACAGGGTTTTCCTGGTACAGGGTTGAGGCGTAGCTTGGTAGTTTCCCAAAAAATTGTAAAGCTGTCACCAATCTTGCCCTTCGGAGGGGGCGGTTTTTGCGACTTTGTCGATGTTCTTCATGAAGCCTTCTGCATGGCCATTTGCTTCTGGCCATAACAGCGTAATCTTTTGGTGTTTGAATCCTTTTTCCTCTGAAAATGAGTGAAAAGCTTGCCCTTGAAACGGGGAACCATTGTCGGATGTCAAAGTTTCTGGTATCCCATGAATGGAGAAGATTCGTTCCATCTCAGGGAGGACTTCTTTTGCTGCCGTACTTTTGATAATTTCTACCTCCAGGTACTTTGAGTAGGCATCTATGACGACAAGTACAGTTTCGCCGGTGGGAAATGGGCCACAGAAATCAGCTGAGGATTGTACCTAGGGTCCTTTTGGTGTGAAGGACATTGTGAGGGGTTCACGCTTAGCGGTGTTGATACTAGCTTGGCAGGGTATGCAATTGGTGATCCACCTCTCCACATTCTTGTTGATGATCTGCTGCTGCAGGCTCTTTGGTTGGAGTAGCTTGTGTCTGCAGAGGATTATCCCTTCCGTATAGCTGAGCTCTTGAAAAACTTGGGTGTACTTTGCCAGTTCGGGATCTGCCCTACAAGCACGGTTATTTCCAGCTTGGATAAGCGGAATGAATTTACGGAAATCTGGGTCTTTTTCAGTGGCATCCTGGACTTGAGTGAGTGTGATGGCCTTTGGTACACTAGTGTTCTCTATGATGTGGTGTACCATTTGAGACCTGGCTTCACTAGTTGCGGTGTCGCCGTCTGTGAGAGGAAGCATGTGTCTTGTGGCATTCTTGTTTCCTGGACAGTACATTAGCTTGTAATCAAACTGTTGGAGATAGAGCAGCCAACGTTCGATTCTCATGGGGGGTCTGCTGTGAGGGTTGTTGAAAAGGGGCAGCAGCGGTTGGTGGTCGGTTTCAATGATAAATGAGCTACTGGCCTTGTCAAAGATGTCCTGTGCAGAGATCATGTTCCATAGTTCAGCCTTGTGTACCTCATTCTTGAGTTTGTCCTATAGAAGGTGGTAAGGTGTCTGCTGGATTTGTCTAACTCCAGCTGGTGGTAACCCTCATTCATGTCTAGGACACTGAAAATTGCGGCGCCTTCAAGCTTGAATTTTATATCATCTACTGTCAGGGTTTCTGTTACTGGGCGGAGAATGGCAGTGTTGGGCACTCTCATGTCTGAGCAGAACTTTATGGCTTCTAAGTTGTGTGGTTTGGGTGCTATTACTGGGTTAGTACGCCAGGTGGTGGGTTGGTTGTCTGGAACTGTTTCAATAACTCCTAGCTCCTTCAGTCACTGTTCCTCCTTTGTGGCTTTTTGGGCTGGATTGTAGGGGATTTTCCTCGGTTTATGGGCAATAGGGTTTACGTTTTCATCCACAATTAGCTTTGCTTTGATCCTCTTGTGTTTTCCCAAACTGAAGAAAATGTCATTGAACTCGGAGGTCAGTTGCGTTACAGCATAGTCCTGGTTGGGGATAGCACTGTTCCCTGTTGGAGGTTTGACCTCTGCGTAGGTTGTGTTTGCTAACTGTAACAATCCTAGTTCCACACTGGTGTCCAGGCTTAGGAGGGGTCCAGACATCGTGGTTCCCTTGACAATGAGAAACTGGGGCACGCAGTTTTCTTCCCTGTGCTGATGCTTTCGATTTCTGCATTAAAGCGGCCAAGAAGAGGCACTGGTTCTTTCTGGGTCAAGGCATAGAGCTTTGTGTCAGTGGGTTGTAGTGGTATCTTTTGCTTGAGTGCGTCTAGGAGTTTCTGGAAGTTTTTCTAGTCCAAAATGTTAGCTAATGAGCCTGAGTCCGCTTCCATTTTGCCCTTGATTCCATTGATTAGGACATGAACAGTGGGTGCACTACCTGACTGGGGACTACTGGGTTGTAATTGAAAAACAATGTCAGAGTCTGATGAGCTGTCTTGCACCGGCTGGACTGACTTTGCTGCTCATCTGGTTCCCTTTGGTTTATCGGTGCCTTTCTGTGTCCCTTGGCACATTTTGGAAAAATGACCTTTCTTGGAACAAGCGGTGCAGGTTTTTAGAGCATSRMGGSKWTTMGYWTSMMGWRCC